CCCCCCCCCCCCCCCCCCTGCCTATGTCTCCTGGGGCACCACTTGCATGAGCTTCTGGCAAAAGACGGTCGTGGCAACTGGCAGAGACAGGAAGCCAGGTTAGCGGGGCACAGTCAGGGCACTGCCCCCGGAGGTGGGGCTCACGCAGCCGAGCTCTCTGCAAGGCTGTGCCACTACTCCCTCGGCCCTGGACAAGCCCTGGGCCAGGCCTCCTGTGGGGCCCTCCTGCTGGGCGACCCCTGGCCTGGCAGCCAGGGCAGAGCAGAGTCTGCCCCACTCTGTTCAGAACCATGTACATGGTGCACATGCCCCCCCCCTTGGCCCACAGACCAGCCTGGAGGAGTGGCCTGGGTCACCGTGAGCAGGCCACAGAGGGACTGTGCCCCTCGGCCTTCCCAGGTCAGCTGGGCTGCGCAGATGGAGGGATCTGTGACTTGGCAGGAGCACCCTGGTTCTCTGGACTCTCGCTCTCAGAGATTAGGCAGCACCAAGCCGGGACTTAGCCCTGAGCACGTGTTCACTTGTTACTGCTGGGCCCAGCCCTGGCCACCCCCCCGAATACCCAGGGGCCCAAAGGCATTGCCTGTTCCCCCACAACTGGACCCCACGGGCAGGTGGCCAGCCCTGGGGCAGCGATGGGGAGCTGGCGCCGTCAGCAGGACACTCACAGATGCCCTGGAGGAGCCACTTGGGCTTGTTCTTCCACCAGACACCCAGGAAGTAGACTGGCAGCCCACTGAGGATGATGGCGAAGCCGATGCCACACTCCACAGGTGTCTTCCAGAAAGACACGGCGATGAGGAACAGGCAGGCCAGCGTGAAGAACACGGGCAGCACCAGGCTCACCTGGGGGCGGGTGGAGGTCAGTGCTTGCACAGGGTGCCACGGCTGCTTCGTCCCTGTGCCTGCACTTCTGGGAGGCCAGGAGCTGCTGACACACAGCGCTGGCGTGCACCACTGGGCGGCCCGAGCCAACCGGGGCCGCCTCCTCCCCTCCAGGAAGCCACCGCTGCGTCAGCGGCTCCAGATCCCACCTGCACTCATGTCCGTGTGCCCCTACATGCCACATGGGCTGGGAGCAGGGAGGCCCGAGACTGCACGTGCATGTGGCCGGAACCCTGTCACTGAGTGAGCTACCCCCACGCCCTGGGAAAGGCACGTCTATTCTGTCACACTCGGTCCTCGCTAGCACCCTCTGCAGCCCTGCTCACTGCACGGAGGGAGGGGGGAGAGGGTGGCTTGTCCACGGCACGGTGGCGGCCCAGCCCGCGGGCCTCACCTTGATGGGCCGCTCCAGCTCGGGCTTCCTGTAGCGCAGCCAGATGAGGCCGATGATGGCCAGGGCCACGCACAGCCAATTGAAGAAGCTGAAGAAGTTGATGACGGAGAAGATGTCCTTGGAGAAGGCGTAGAGCAGCGTCATGGCACACTGAAAGGCGGGCAGGGCTCTGAGCCTGGGTGGGAAGTGGGGCGCCGGCAGGCACAGGGGCGTCCACTCTGCTCGCAGGGCACCCCGGGGCAGTGAGGACCCGCCCACCATCCCCACTGCAGTCCCTTGTGAGAGGACGTAGCTACCCTGGGCACTGCCAGAGCGAGGCTTGGTGCACCGCGCCGAGGGCACGGCTGCACGGTTGGAGGATGATGAGGTGAGCAGACGTCTGACCCTCTCCCATCCGGCCACGCTCCCTGACACGTTCCCGACAGACAGGGATGGGGAGGGCCTTCCGCAGCAAGGCCTTGCCCCTAGGGGACACCACGTGCGTGTCAGGACGCTCACATAGCCCCTTGGAGAAGGCCCAGCCGAGGACGCAGCCTCATCCCATGGCCATGACGGGGCCCTCAGACAGGCCTTGAAGCCAGTCCAGCCCAAGCAGGCTGCAGCCACGTGTGCCGGGAACACGGCCGGAGCCACCCCACGTCCGGACTCGCAGGAACTGAGAGGTAGTAAATGCTTTGTTTCGGGCCACAGCAAGGAATGGGCACGATCAGCCATCACTGCGGGCAGACGAGGACGCGGGTCCCGTGAAGGAACACAGCCCAGCATGAGCCCCAACACCTGCCCGTGCTCCCCAGCCCCGGGGCAGGCAGGTGGCCTGGAAACCGCGGCTCCCGGGGGCGTTTCCGTTTCACTCACTTCCAGACTGCTGGACTCTCTTCTGGCCACCAAGTGCTACTTTGGGGGACTGGAACCTAGACCAGCAGTTTCAAGAGGCCAGTGAGCGCAGTAGGGCCGAGCATGGCGTGGGGCACCCGGGCTCCTTAGTCGCATCTTCATCGTGGCCTCTGCTCGGGCTGGCCAGTCTACACGAGGCCCAGAGTGCAGACGCCACGCACGGCCTTGCTCTGGGGGCCCATACCACCCTGCGTGAGACGGCGGGATGTCAGGCTTACCGTGAACACAAGGGAGGGCACCGGGGTCAGGAGCCGGGGGTGGATCATGGAGAGGATGGAGGGCAGGTGGCCCTCCCTGGATCCCACGAAGAACAGCCTGTGGACAGTGGGCAGACAGGTCAGCACGCGGGGCCCGCACTGGGCTCAGGGGCAGCACGGGGCAGTTGGTGGGCAGGTCCCTTCACCTCCCTGGGACGCAGCCTGCCCATGCCAGGTGTCTGGGACTGTCCCTCTAAAGGCCAGGCCTGCGCCTCCCGGGGTGCTCAAGGTGCTCACCTTGAGGACGTGAACAGGGAGCCGTTGACAGAGCCGAAGCAGGACAGGCCCACGAAGACGGGGATGACCCAGGCCATGACGCCCAGGTGGTAGTTCCCGAAGTCCTGGAGACAATCTCAGTGAGCCGCCACGCTCGCCCAGAGGCTTCTGAGGGGCTCCCCTTCCCTCCCCACAGGGGCTCTCCTGGTCCCAGGTGATCTGCCTGCAGACGCCAGCCCACATCATGGAGCCGGGCTCCCTGGGCCACGCCTTCTAGCAGCAAACTGCCCGGAGCCCGGGCAGCACTTGGAATGACTGCAGGGAGCGGTTGCGGTCACAGTGTGGCCCCATGCTCACGTCTGGAACGGCACAGTGCCTACGTGGTCCGATACACTGACCTCGGGCCACTCAGGGTGGGGCTGGGCCCTCGGATGCCAAGAACGGCCCAGGGTGAGGGCAGCTGTCACCTCGGCCAGCCAGGCGCGTCCCTGCAGCGTCAGCCGTGGAGACCGAGGGCCACCTGGGAAGCCGCCCTGCTGCATGTGCCCTGCAGCCTCCTGGGGACCCCCCGGCCTACTCACCACAGCCACGGCCTCCGACGTGAGCATCTGCTCGGTGGAGAGGGTGGTGAAGTAGGCCAGGTTAGTCAGCACGTACACCAGCGTGACGATGGGCAGCGAGATGATGATGGCCAGGGGCAGGTTTCTGCAGGGGAGGGAGCAGGGAGCTCAGCAACGGCCTCCGTGTCCCCATCTGAGAACTGAGAACTGGGGCCGCCAGCCGAGACAGGGAGGGCTCGAGGGAGCAACAATCGGTTGCCCCGTCTGAACTCCCAGGGCTCTGCTCAGGATGTCAGCACAGGACCGTCCCCAGGCCTATGGGGTTGGGCTGAGAAGGCCGCAGCCAGCCTCTCTGTCCCTTCCAGGCAGGGGCCCTCAGACATGCATACACACACATGTATGCACGCTCACCTGCACACGCACACACGTGTGCACACTCATATCTGGGAAGGTGGGCCGAGGTCCACCCCAGGCCTAGAGGCTGCAGTGTCAGGTGAGGGCAGGAAAGCTCTTGGGGACACAGCTGCCCCTCCCAGGGGGAGCCCTGCTTAAGGCCACATGGCCTCCTGTGGTCACCTTGACCCACGGCCCTTGGCACTGCCCTCCGCCAGGCTGGGCCTCTGGGCGGAAGGAGTGTCTTCCCCACACAGAAAACGGCCCCACGCTCGCACCTGTAGGGGTTGATCATCTCCTCGGTGACGAAATTCAAGTAATTCCTAGAATTTGGAGAACAGCTTCATTATAGCTCAGCACACACTCGGGGGAAATAAACAAAATCCCATGGGGAGCCTTCCTGGCTGCTCGGCTGGGGCGATGACTTCCGCACTCCTGCCCTTCTGCCTCCCAGGTCTTGGGCGACAGAGCCTCAAGGGCGTGAGGGTGGCAGCAGGTATGGAGCTCGGCCCCGGCCTGCCTGCTCTGGGTGCCCCCTTGCCTCCTCTGCCCTCCACTACTTCTGTCCTAGCAGCCCGGCCCAAGGGCAGGGTGGGATCCCCCGAACGGTCCTGCTGCTGGGACTTGGGGCTGCTCTGGGCACCTGTTCCCCAAGGGTGTTTCCTGCAACTCCCTCCCGCACTCGCTCTTAAACCACTCGGACGCCTGGACCCCTCGGGGCTCACGTGTCCCCAGGCCAGGAGACCCAGACAGCACGAAACCCACCATCCTCCGTAGGCAAAGAGGCCGCTGTACAGGGCCAGCACAATGTTCCCCACGTCCAGGTTGGTGCCTTCAAAGGAGGACTTGGGATCCAGATTGGACACGTCACCTGCCAGGGCCACGCAGCAGAGGAAGGCGGGGTCAGATAAGGCCGGGTGTGCTCCTCCCGTCCCGGCCCAGGCCAACAGCCCTGCACTGGGGCTCATGGCATGCACCTGCTGGGCTGAGGGACCCTGCGGCCTAGCTCGTCCTGGCAGGAGACAGGCTGGCAAGGACCAGAGGGATGTGGGGGGGCCCGGGCCTCTCTGCGGGCTCAGGGCCAGCCCCCACTCTGTGAGAGGTGTCACCACCGGAGGAGCCTGGGGGCCAATGCACGGCGTGTCTGCTTCTGCCTACGACCAGCTCACAGCCCTGCCTGCCGACCTTCTAGAACACGCTCCACAGACCCTGTGGGACAGGCGCCGGCTGCATGGTGGCTGCGGCAGAATCCCAACCGCTTCAGCTTGGGGGCCGTTTCTAACAGTACCCACGGCTGTGGACAAGACTCAGCCCAGGTCCCCCCGGGGTCCGGAAGGG